GCTTGCAAGGTACCCCATGAGTTTGCTACCCCACTTATCCTGCTCCATCCTTATCTGGACGAAGCTCTTCTCGATGCATACTATGAAGCCGTACATTGCGCTCCCGTTTTCGTCTTGCGTCTGTAGGAACGTCGAGAGGGCCCTCTCCTCCTAGGACAGTTCCATCATTCCCCTCTAGACGTCCATCTTACCTGTGAGCTGTTCCCCTGCCAGGTACTAACTAGAGGGCATACAGTCATACCCAGGAATAGGGGATGCCGCTGGCGGTACTGGCTCATTAAGCCAGTCCTAATTGTCCCCTGCATAGAGCGTCAGCGAGTCGGAGAGGTGGTAAGCCGGTTGCCTACTAGATAATCAGTATGCGGGCATGGGCGGTGTGCTGACGCCATTGAGCACGAAGAAGGGGCAAGCTATTACGCATGTCTGAGACGAGTTCACCCCTAGGTAGGGGCCGATTATACTCCGCCAGAACACGGACCACTGTACTGCATAGGTGAGACGCCTTTGTTAGGCGTACTACGCACGTGCCAGCAGGGCTCGTCCTGAGGTCACGACGTTCGAGACTGTTTCGTACTCCGTCAGATCACGGAGTGTGGTGCCGTATAGGTGAGCCAGCAATATCAAGCGTACGGATTGCGGGACTGCGTTCTGCAGCTTCATTAGGTTTAGAGCTTTGCCCACCTTTGGCAGTTCATAGTGCGCGGAGCGTTGTTCACCCTTAGACGAGCGTTGATTGACGAATACGTGGCATATGGGCCAGCGGTATGAGAAGACCGAGTAGTACGAGAAGTAAACTGGAATGGCGGCAGATAGAGCTTGCAATGTTTTCTTGGTGGCTGCACCATCGTATTATTTATTTCTGGGGCTCGACTGGCTGAGAGCTTTTGGAATGGAGTGGTACTATCGGGCAGACAGACTGCGTACGTACGCAAATGCTCGGCGTTGCGACTTGTCCGTGGGATAACACATCGAGGTACGCCTACAGAAGTGGAATGATAGGAATCCCAGGCTGAGGAGGCCTACAACAGCTTTGGTGCAGCAGGACTCGGGAATGGTGGAGAAGGCCGTTTCAGCTCCTCCTCAACGACCTCCCAAGTGGTGCAAGCTAGGCAGCGGCAGTGGCCTAGCTACAGATTAGGGGTGGCCAAGGCAACCCTACCGACAGTTACGAAGTGAACTATATTCTGGATGTGAGCGGCGAAGCTGAGCAAGACGAATACCTCGTCAACTGGCGAACAGCGCCGGACGGCCGCTAAATTTCGGGAAGGGGGGAAGTTGTAGTGCACCAGCACCACAATGGTTCTCAAATTGGACCTGTAGAGGTCCAGCTTGAGTATCTGAGTACCAGCATAGAGAATACAAATAGTGCGTTATTAGAAATAAATCAAGCCACTTTGGACAGGAAATGAGGTCATCAGGCTAAGAGTGTGCCGCAGCTACCGAAGGTCGGGCTGGCCGAGACTGGCAGTATAATCGAGGCGTTGGCCTGCAAGGTGCCCGCATCCGAAGAATTATCACTGCTCTTCCTCCTTTAGGACTGGCCCCGGTATGGAAATAATGGACTGTTTTTCTGGCACTTTAAGGTGAATTCAAGGGCAATGCGCCGAGCGTAGCGTGGATTCATCGGGTGTGCACTTATAGAGGGATACAAAGGACCGATAAGTAGTGGGAGTTGCTAGCACTGTTCACTACAAAGTGGCTCCTCTCATCCAATTAGGAACGTTGGTGCTGCTAAGCCTGAAAACGCAGGTGACCCTGTTACTTGGGGACTTGTGCTGTTGCCCTCATCCACTTGACCACCTGCGCATGTTCCCCAAAGCAATGCTTGCTTTTGGTTGCCTTACCTGATAGTAGGGCCACGGACTGCAGCACGTGCGTTTCCTCTGGCCTCATGAACGCATCTTCCAAACTTCACCGACAGGCCGATCACCTTGGCAAGGCAATGAGGGACAGATAGTTATTTGCACGAACGACGTGCTATTACACGGAAGGCAGTGGTCTGTGAATGCGCAACGTGATCATTCTTCATGTAAACAATCAGCGTCTTAGGATTGTATGTTTCTTCAGGGGGAATCGAACGAAATTGCGGGAAGATTAAGCTCACTCGGAGGTGGCCAGTTTCCGTGTGCACTCACACAGATATTCCGAAGCTGCTCGGTCTGGCATCGCACCACCGCAGCTTCATGCCTGAACTCTTTCGCATTGCCACCCCTCTACGGGATTTACTTAAGAAGGACAAGCAACGTACGTGGATACCGAACAGAAACCCACCAGTTCTCTCCACACAGCTGAGATCGTCTCCACTATTGGCGCTCCCTGATTTCGACAATCGAACACAGAGTCACAGCGATTGGAGGAATGCTCCCTGGGTGAGGGCACGAGTAAAGAATAATAGCCTGCTACTCTCCCCGTTCCACGAAGAGAGAGCAGAAATATACGAGATTCTAAAGAGGCTCTATACATTGTGGAAGGCAGTGAAGAACTATTGGCAGCTCACTCTTTATCGCAGGCATTCACTCTCCGGACCGAACATCATCCCCTGACACATCAAATGGAGATTCTATGAGAATTCAAAGGCAAAGGATTTGTTTGGTGGTCTTGCCGGCTCATGCAGCACGACTTCACTGTCGAGCATTACAATGGTATCACCACCGACGCCGCTGATGCACTCTCCCGATGAAGGCATTTTGCTCCACAAGTGCGCTTAGCTCGGATAGTTCCCTTTGGCGCCGTCAAGCACGAACCGATGACGCGGTCTAATACAGAGCATATCATTTCCACCACGAGGCACCTGGAGGCAGACGTGCAAACTCAATGCACCAGGCGAACGCTTGTGCGGTGCATGCGACACTACACCCAGAAAAACAAACCAATATGGCTTGATTTCCTTTATTGTGAGGAATGGGCCTATACAACAGTGCACAGCGCTTGCCGGTGTTTTATGGCTTCACTGAGCTACTCCAAGACAGTGTCATCTAGTCCCAGTGTGGAACTGGTTGCAGGCAGCAACCCCTCAACGACACACTGGCATTGTTCCCAACGCAACTTGCAACAGCAAAGTGTGCAGAAGGTACAATAATGCTAGGCAAACGACGAGTTGCAGTCTCTTTTAGCCCTATTGTTATAGTTTTATTGGACTCGCTGGCTACTCGAGGCTGGCCAACCGAAGTTCGCCGTGCGTTGGGCAGGGATCTTTGCCGCTCAATTTCCGCTTAACGCAATAGTTTATATCGTTGACTTACCCGCAACATGGAGATATCAGCAGATTATTAGTGTCCGTTTTCCCGAACGAAACAAAGAACAATCGGAAACCTCTCGAATGAGCGTTGCAAATCGGCAGCAACGTCACTGAAAGAAACGACTGGAGGAAAGTGAGACCCTGGACACGCGTGAAACGAAGCACATGGGTCACATAAATTGAGATTATTACGTTAAGCGGCGGGGAAACTGAGAACACGAGTTACCTGCTGAGGAACGGTTCTGCGAAAAAAATGCCTCCGAGGAATCTGTATGCCTTGGTAGATTCAACTCCGGCGAGCGAAAGCGCGGGATGCACAGCACACCTTATAACTGGGACAAGTACAAGATTATGTTTGCACTCGCTCTGTCACGGGCGTGCAGGTGACCATACCCTCACCGCTGTGCGCTCTTTTTTTGTTACTTCCCCTTTGCTTTCTGTTCGCCCCCCTATACCTAGGGCTATCTCCGCAGCCGACAAAATTTCAGTTTTATTCAGATTTTGGTGTTTGGCTCCCGATTAGTATCAAGAGGAGAGACGAAACTGGAGGGAAGAGGAACAGGAATACACGCAACAAACCTTGCCAGGGATGAACCGATGCTACCCTTGTCCTGGTAAATATCGCTGCCCAACACAAGAATAAAGCGCTGCATTATATCGAAGATGAGTTCGAAAAAAGATGGGACTGGAAGCGATAACCCATGATACCAAATATGCACGCACCACGGGCCAATCGAACTGCCCAGAATATGTATTCATAGCATGGACGACAGTAGATGACCGTGTCTGACGAAAGAAAGCAACGTCCAAAGTGTCAAGAACGCTTTATGGCTGCATAGACTAACCAATAAATAGTGAACACTGAGTTCTAAGTCGAGATAATCCCCACACACTACAAAACAGGCCTCAAATAGGGCGGCAAGGAAATGCATGCGCGTTGAAGAGCTACGCATGCAATCGCCATAAGCCGCGATTGCTACATATTTTCCTATTACCCGGAGCCTGAGTGGTGAATTAGATGCGCCAAATGTACACCACAACGGGTCTTACCCCACTGGCGCATCCGCCCGCCTCGCAGGCGATCCGCTAGAAAGAGACGCGCTCAGCAAACCAACAAACAAATCTTGGCCCCCCGAAGCAATGGGCACTCGACGACTGAAGGTGCAAGTTCCCCAGTAAGTAATCAGGTGCAAAGTCCCAAAGGCCGTGAAATTTGTGAAAGCAAACGTATCGTGTGGCGGCGTGCACAAGATTGGGCCTTAAACCGAGAAAACTCAAAGTTACAATATTAACACGAGCAAGGTACAAATATGCTCAACCGCGCAATACTTCTTAAATAGTACGTGCCCCAGGCTAACAAGGTGTTGGCGGCAATGTCTGGGGCTAGATGAGCTGGTATACGAAGCGTCGCAACACGCTCGGCGGCGGAGTAGTTCAGTTGTACTTACCTTAAGAACACTGGACTCTTCTGAACAGTGTAATATGGCTATATATATATTTTTGACGTTTGGAGTCATATCTAGTTGGCAGTAACTTCAGCGCCAGTACTGGGAGGAAGTAGCAGCTGAGTGGCCACTCATCGCCAGAGCAGGCCTTGTGGCATAGGATTCCTGCCTCGTCAACACGGGGTTACCGGATTATTTGTACAACTGTGTACTTGACTTCGCATTAAGAAGGGGAAGGCTTTTGCTTCTTGCTCACATGCAGAAGCGTCAGGGGGCGAATCGTCCAGGATGATCTTCGTACCGTCCTATTCGCGCCAATGGCTGGTCCAGACCCCAAACGCATGTACATTGCGATCAATTCGCAGAACCTTGACGCCCTCAAGCCAGAAAAACCATATTGGAGCAAGCCATTCGTTTTTGTGAATCCATCGTAGGTCGCGTGCCTTCCGGCTTTGCCACCAGTAAGGCGCTGCTAATCCTAGCATCTCCGATGCTTGGATTAGGAGCGCTTTACTCAGATCGATATCACCTAGCCAACTGTTGAATAATGTTGCCTGCGCCAACTTTCAGACATCGCAGGAGCTTAGGGATAGTTTGGGTGTTTGCGGGATGCGACACGCTCAGCGGGACAGGCACGAAGTACACTTCCCTCCAGGCGGCGATGATACTTCAGAAGATGAAGGTCGTTGACTTTCTGCTGGATCAGCCATCAATCGACTTGACCGTGAAGAGCACTGATGGGAAAAACACCATCATCGTTGCTGTTGAAGCAAAAGTATGGCGCAAATGGCGTGCCATCCGTGTGTCGATTACTATGCGTCTGGGCGGTGATCCGCAGCGTTTTCTCGGCAGAAGCATACTCAGGCGTCCATGAGCATGCATGCGCATTTCGGATGTGTTCAATTCAGATGGGCGTCGGGACGCTGGAAAAAATCCTCCGGAAACTCGACTTACGATCTCTTGCTGAAGTGGATCCATCGGGCAAAGGGCCAATAGACTATGCAGAACAGGGAACAGACGGTCTGTCTAGTAGCCATACTCTATGTAGCCTGCTGTTGGTATTAGCTTTCTTGCTGCATGTCTCGAAGCAAGGTACTGCGGATGCGACTTAGACACTCAGCTACACTCTTCTAGGGTTTTACATGCTTGATCCTTTGAGATCTTACTTAAGCGGTGTGTATTGCTTTTGAGCAGTTTATGAGTTTCTTCACTCGATGGGCTGCAAGACCCGACATGAGAAAGAGGTTGCAATGGCAGGGTTCTTCGGAGAGAGTGTAAAGGGCACTGTTCCAGGTGTCAGCGAGCACCAACGGAGGCGTAAGGTAGGAAACTCGCCGAGAAAGAAGGCGGAGAAAAATTCTAGCAGTATTGGAACCACCCATTCGTCGTCTGAAGAGGAGCTGAAGAGTTCGGAAGTCTCCGAAGCTGCCTGTAGTAGCGAAGAACAAGATGCGCTGTGGAGGCACTTCGATGACATTGATGAACTGGAACAGGCGCTGAGAGCGTACATAGACGAGTGGGGGCAAGATCATGATGACGGTAAAAGCTGCGCTCATTGGCTGCGGAGTGTCGCTCGTGCGAGGGAAACCGGAAAGACTGAAAAGCTCCTGAAGAAGTGGAACGCCACTATTCAAGGACTGAACACGAGCATGGGGGATGAAGCCGAAGATACAACCAAAGACAGTGGGAAGAAGAATGCCAAGAAAAAGACCCCGAGGGGTAGGTCAACTGAAAGAGTTTCCCCGAGAGAGCGTGACGGTGGGGGCTCGGCGCATTCGCGAGGACAGCTGGCAGGCTCCACGACGGTAGATCCGGAAGTCGTCAAACTGTTCTTTTCGGGCAAAGCTGGAGACCAGGTGGGCTGGAAGCGTACGGGGAGAGTATTCACATTGTTATGCGGTTGCAGTATAAGTCCTGGTAAGAAGAGCTGCTAGTTGGAATTGCGAGTACTGGCACTACCAAGCGCATTGCTCGTAGACATGGCGTTTTCTGTACGACTCGTGCGACGTTGTTAGGTGAACTTGAGGAACACAGGAAAGCACACACATCGTCTCACTTTCGTCGTGTCATCCCGATCGGCCTCAGTGGCCCCGTCTGAGAAGCGCACTGATGAGGAGGAAAAATAATTACTTCAACAGGACTAGCTTTCAGCCAGCACCAGCAAGAGGCGATCTTATTGTGCCAAGAAGCAGGCTACCGTTTATCCAAAAAGTTGTTTCCGTCGACTAAATAAGGTTGGACAGCAGGACCTAGCAGCCTCACGGTGGAGGTGTTGGCGCCTCTCCGTGGCCGCTTTCGAGGTCAAATTGATTTCGAAGGTATTGGCGACGCGCGTTGCTGCCGCTGCAGAAAAGCCTCCTTGTAGGGCCTTCATAGTCGCTGAGTGGGAACGTCAAGCTGGCTCCGCCATGGAAAACGACACTGTGGGTAGTAAAGCGCACCATGCGTCTCCACGTTTGGAGGAAATGCATAGCCATTGATGACTTCTTCACGATTGTGGTTGCGCCTCTAGTTCATGCTGGTCGCAATGGATGTCAAATATTCCCTCCTCCTGCAAAGAAAATTCTGCGTGTTACATTTCTTTTTGCGCGGGGAGAGTTTGGCGTGGGAAGCCATTCCGGCGATAGAGCAGGCTGGGATATTGCATTCGCGGGGGCCGCACCGTAAGCCCCTGAACAGCATGATCGCTCCTTCCATCGAGCATTCTGTTCAGTGTGTATTCGACTGCTCCAGGGAAAACAGGTCAGGCATAATGTGCAAGGTGGATAGACGCAATTTGCTTGCGCAACAGGTCCGCTGGACTTCTTGCAACATCGGTATGCCGGGATGTACTGACTGGGAGCCATTGCTGCAGCTGTAAACATCATGGCTAGAATCGCCAACCTTTTTCAAAACAATTGGCCAAGTCATGTTATACACCATGCCTTTGCAGAGCCTGCAAGAACAAATCCAAAAGGATTCCGTTTGAAACAGGTAGTGTCAGGCGGAGAGGATGCGTTAGATGTAAGCATCCTGGGTCTTGTGGCTTCTGCCACTGAAAGTGCCGGGGAATGACAGCACTTGCTATTTTGCGCTGCGAGGCGCGTCACTCGTTATTCTTCGTCATTCGTTGTTGCACGGAGTCACTAGTTCTTTTGGGGGCATTGAAAATAGATGGAATGCCAGCGCCTGCGCCTCGTTTTTATTCATATACGCATGCAAATTTCCGCCTTTCGTAAACATGCACGCGACGCAAATGCTATCTGAAATAGTAGAAAAACTTGGATTATCCTTAATGGGGTATTTCCGTGCAAGCAAGCGTTGTTCCTCGTCAGCTTCGGACACTTTTTCATTCTCATGGATATTTGCTTTGACGTCTTCGATTGCGATGACGGATGTAGGGCAGATGACAAAGACAGCGCCACCAGCTGCTCGTAAAAAACAACATGCGAAGCTTACAGGCGAAATGGTATTGCATGTGCGTTGCCCACTTGGCCATTCGAAACCAGTTGTCCTGAGAGTGCTGCTCTACTTACCTTCGATGGACCCATCATTTGCTCTACACGAAGACAGATTGAATACGTGCTTGCGACTCTCGAAGTCTAACAATTGGGAAAGTCGCACAGCCCTTGCCTCTGGCAACAGCAGAAGTCGTCCAACCACTAAGCTGGCGAAGACGATGCGCCTTCTCATAAAAGTGGCCATCAGTGCTGCTCCCTCCTACAGCACATCTCGCAGATAACTGCCCAACGATACCTCTACCGTCTTCCTAAAAGGCTGAGCACGCACAAGAAAGAGTAGCCCACCTGGGGGACACGCCACCCTTGGGCGCCCATGCCTTGTTCTTCGCCCGTTCTGGTTTCACTGTGCTTGATAAGGACCGTAGCTCCTGCATGCACCCATTTGATTTTACTTCTTAAAAGGCCATCTAGTTGCCTATGTAGTTCACCCTGTCGACTCTGGGCGTGAGCAAGCAGTTCTTTCCGAGGGCGCACCCCCGGCGTCCCGTAGCAAATCTTCACCAGGTCCGCCAATTTTCTCGAGAGCAGGAACATTTTCTTGTGAGAATGAACTCGTCGGAAAAGCAGGCTAGGATCGAGCGATTCCAGTTTCCCTGGGTCCCGCAAGTCGCCAGACAGCTGACAGCGTGAATACAAACAAGCACAATAAATCAAAGGTAAGAAGGAATACGTGAACGTTCTTTTCGCTCAGCCATCAATCCCACGCGAGTACCTCGGGTATCTGGATACTGCGCAGGAATCATGCGCTCACCAACGGCGTTCTGTCATCCAAACCAAAGAAATCGAAGATCATCTGCAAGCCCTTCGAGCCTTCCGCGTCGCAGTTCGCTGGAAGCAAAATATGGAAGAGACTCCCTGGCTTTGAAACCGCTGCAGCAAGTGCATACAGGCTTCCTGCCTCTTCACTGGTAACTGCTGTTGAAGTGACTTCAGAGACGTCCTCCACACCTCCCGAGGCTGCTGTTGGCTGTGTATTGATATTGGATTCCTCAGGCAGCAAACTTCCGCCAAGCAGAGGGTTCGGTTCCGGCTCCACTGGATGTATGCCCATTAGAGTTGCCGCACCTCCCTCACTTCTGCAAGGTGGAGCTGGCACGCCGTTGAAGACTGATTTCAAGGTTGATAGGGGCGCCCCTTTTCCTCGGGAATTATGACGGTCGTGTTTTTTCTCCTCGGCAGCAGCCCTTAGCTTGCTTTTGTTGCTTATGAAAATCTGACTGCAGTCAAGCTCCGCTACTTTGCGGAGGCAGCAAACGAAGAAACCCCCTGTATTGTTATGATGAGGCAAAACTCGAACACATTTTTCAAGGCACATTGAATCCGCTCCCGGCGGGGGAAACATTGTGGGCCTGCAAGCGCACCAGAACCCTGCAGCACTCCCGTTACTGTTGCCGCCGGAGGTTATCAGCACCCAGTTTTCAACAAAAAAATGTAAAAGCTCGAGCTAGGCCTTACCGAATCCGATGACGAAATTCTTCTGGCACCTCATCAAACGTGCGAAAGAAGGTGGTCTGACTGCCTGATGGTGCGTTCGGCTTAGAAGACTCCTCGGAAAGTATGGGCTCTTTGGCAGGAGGCGCCGGCACGAGCCACGAAGATTTTCCCTTCGACCACTTAAGGCCTGCGGTGTGCACAAGGAAACTGATGGAATGGGTGTACTGGAAAACCTTGAATGGGCTACAAAGCAACTATGGGTGCTTCCGATAAGGGCATCCAATTGTCGTGGCGGTAGTAAAGGCCCTTCTGGAAGCAAAAGCTGCAGCGGGGTTTAAAAATAAGTGGTATCTTCGGAATCTGAACATTGTGATCACCCGGCAATTCTGGCGGGTCCAGAATCTCCACGCGGCCCTTTTGTTGTGATAAAACTGTTGCAATGACGGCCTGCGGTCAACAAAAGCATTCGCATCCTGCTTACTCCACAGATCGGGCGATCCACCGAGCCTTCGGCATTGCGGACAAGCGGTGGAACCTACCTCATCCTCTAGAGGATTTAGCGAGCAAGTTGAATAGACAATTCGCCCGTCAACATGCAAGAGCTGGAGGCCACGGTAAAGAATAGAGAGCTGAATGCCAACAAAAGCAGCAATTGCATGGCCTACATACGTACATATTTATACCAATGTATATGCGTATAACTAGATAACTATTCAACTGTTTGACTATAGCCACTTGAAACTGTATGGTTCGAGCAAGTACCTGGATTGGGTGCATGCTATGGCCGCCACCGGTGTTCCAGCTCCTCCACACGTCCAAGTTCTTCCTCAGTGTTCCGTCGCCACTACATGGTACGTCGGCTGACACACAGGACACTGCACATTACAAATATCGAAATCATTGCACGGTCCATTGCTTCCACTTAATCAAACCGGATATGAAGTTGGAGGAAGGCTCACCTAGTATTCTGTCGAACTGCAGTTTTTCCTGCGAAAAAGGCAAACACCAACAACACCCCGAGAGATGCAGTAGTCCTACGGACACTGCAAAATCCTTCGTAACTGGGGGGCAATTGGATCCCGTTTGTCCCTATGCTCTGACTAACCTTGTGAGGACCGCCTTCTGCGCTCTCATAAAGCGTCGGGAAGCACGCAGCTGCAGGAGCAAACACGCCTCTCACGGCGACTCAAATTGCAAAAACATCAACAGTACTGTGAAGCAACGCGAGTCAACAGCTCCCGACGGACGGGCTTAGGCTGCCTGCACGCTTACCGTCAAGGCAGCTAACTGCCACTGACGGAGACGCGAGCTTCTGTACCTGATGCGTCAGTGTTACCGCACGCTTCAAATCGACATCGTTTGCGATGACTGCCCCTGCTCATCAGTCGAAAAACAAAGGCAAAGAACAACGCGCTGGATACCTAAAGTGACGCCCCCCAAGAAGAAGAGCGGCCAGCCTTTCTACGTCAACGCGTACTCGCTGAGTGAAGGGGAACCCTAAAGCATTACTGCGCAACTGCAGTTGCGCTCGCTTTGAAGGCTCTCGGTGTCTACTCATGTAGCCTGTATTTACAGTTGCAATGCCTACCAGCCACCGGAGAAAGGCCAACGAATCCCCCCCTTTCCTTGGGCTCACGTAGCCGGGCATCCCACTGTAACATGTCAAGCATCTCCGATGTCTTAGATCCTGCGCGAAGCATTCCACACTTAATATCCCCACTTAATATACGCACGGTCACTTTGGTCTGTGGCATGCACGAAGTGTAACATGCTCGGAAAAGAGCCTTCAAACCGGCTTTTATTTACTTCTAGAAACACAGTTTATCTGGCGGAAGAGCACCCATTGAATTCACTGCAGACTACACCGAAAGCTACCGAGCAATGAACAACAGCTTAGGCTGGCCTTCTACTGGAAACAACATATTTACCCGGGGATGAACACATATCCAGCACGAGGTGATGTGGCTGAATGTCCAAGAAGAGGCACGGAAGCATGCTGACAGCTTCTTGTCTGGTGAGTGACCCCTGTAATCAAATACCGTTACGCTGACTACGACGGACCTAATTGCACAGGTGATAAGCTTCGCCAATAGGCAAAGGATATCCTGAACAAGCGTTTACCAGTGTTTAATGCTTGGCAACTAGAGACAGAGACGTGCAGGCGCTCAAGACACACGAAGAAGCGTTGCATGCATCTCTCACCCTGAAGTCTTCGTTGATGATTTGAGAGCGGATTTCCCTATAAAAGCCGTCCTTTTTCATGTCCACCTTGCTTGCCGTATCCCACTGCCCTGTGCATTCGCCCTCCTGATGCAACTATTACTGTGCGCTGTTACCTTAAAGATCTTTCAGACCTAGCTAACCATTGTGGGAGCAAAATCACTTGGGGCAGGGAAACTCACATGCAAGCTCATGAGGGAAGAATCGCAAGTGCCGCACGGCGCTTTTCCCCTGTAAACAGTTGCAGCAACACTAGCCATACGCCACTTACTGCCAACGCGGAGACAGCCTAACCGTTTGTACCAATCTGTGCAGCCCAATTGTGGCTGGAATGACCAGACTGCAGGTTAGAGCGTACTCCTTCTGTGCTCATCTTGAGAAGCAAATCGCGTGCGCTTTTCCAAAGTGGGGCGGAAACGTTGACGCGCACAGCAGCTGCAAAAGCCATTAGCACCAACTGACTGCCCGTCCCTTGTACTGACACAGCTGGAACGTTCGCTCAGTCGAAGGGGTCCTAGCCATTGGAGCGAAGGAAAACGCGAAGCAGTTCATTTGGGGCAGGCAGCCCTTTGCAGTTTATATTTGCTTGCGTGTTGGCTCAAGGAGTAAGTTCAGATCAACCCCGAATGAAAAGAGCCTACCAAGCATACCTGGCAGAGGGAGTCGCTGGATGGCCATGAAGTTGTCCCACTGATCCTGGGGGCAGATATCTTGTGCCTGTACGAAGGAAGACATCAGTGAGGAACATATCCATACGGTGTGGGACGAAATTGTCTGGACTGGCGGCATACCTTGACATTATACAAAGGGGCTAGATGACGCTGCAGGAGTTACCCAGAAGAAAAAAGCTACAGAATTGTACTTTCTTCGATACGATTCTAGATCTCTAGTGCTCCCTGAAGCTAGGAAACGACGTTGGTGAAGAGGATCCCCCGAGACTAACTTTGTAGTATTCCTCGAATGCCGCATTTTCGTAGACGATCTCAGCATACGTTTCTTTCGTTTTCTTGGAATTTTTGTTGTTTGTTTCCGCCGCAGCTGCCCTTTGATATTTGGAGGCCCGCCATTTACCCATTAGTTCGGCGCCCCTAAATGAGCGCTTGCCCCGAGCCATTTTCCGAAGATATGCGGAGTGCGGCAAAGTTGGAGATTGATAGTATTCCTGCACACAGCTCCGGTAGGCGCTGCCCCAATTCGAGCTAACATCCACTTCTGCAGGAGAATGCTAGAGGGTAAAGAGGCAATTCTCTACATTGACGACGGAAACAACAACTTGCATTATTGGCGCTCTTCAGCTGAAAATCGCGAGGGTTATTCTGTTGCCTCTGAGGAAGTCTTCACAGTCCCAGATATCCCAGTAGTTTTCAGCGGTGTTGAGAATCCGCTGCCGGACTGACTACTCTTTTGGAGGAGAGCACACGAGTACCTTCCCACCAGTGCCGATGCCCGATAGGGTAGCGTAGTGTGCTGCGAGTAGTCAATTTCTCAGCAGCATTTCTCAGGAGCTGAATAGTATGTTGAAAGTATGACAACTTTTCACTGTATGCTAGTAAAATGGTGCATCCGTCATTGTAGGCGTGCTACTTCGCTCTGATGAGACCCTCTTGCGGGGGCCCCACACACGCAGAGTCTCTGTACGAGTGGCGCACATCAACACAACAATCAATAAAAAGTAAGTTCCTGCTGCTGTTTGAGGGTTCATCATATTTACTTCTCTAATGTGAAGCAGTGATGGGGTTATCCAGCGGTTCGCACCCTGCCTTCCCTGGGGCTGTGCTAGTGTTGCTGATGCAGCATTGACCGTTCAAAGCTGTTACATAACCGCTTGCTTGACCTTATTAGACAGCCTACAAGCAAGAATAAGTACAACAGTCATCAACACAGCTACTGCATCCCACCGAGTTGACAGCCTTCTTCCAGTGAAAAAGCTAATGAAGAATGCTTCTGCCTGTGCAGACTGTCACTGTCCAGATATTATGGACGTCGCGGTGCGGGGGCGGTGGAGGAGTTCCTTGCTTATCTGGAGGTGCATCTTTTTCACTAGAATGCGCTCATCGGGCTACGGCTGTAATTAGCATCTTTGTTCTTGGAAGGGGAGGCACGCCCATGGCGGCTATTTCTAAGCAAGGGGGCCACTTTCTAGAGCAGATATGAAGTATTGAAGCCTTGCAAAGAGCGCTCCGATACTCGTTTATTCCAAGGTCAGCAAGAGAGAAACTGTTGCAAAGCTGAGAAGAGTTCAACAAGGCAAGTCGTTGATAGACCACCACGTCGAGAAGGATCATCCCTTGGTAAGCATAAATTCACCGGTGAATTCGCAACACCTATATAAATCGTTAATTGTATACTGTATAATTGTATAAATTGCATGCCTGTTTCCCGGAGAGTGGGCCAGTAGCCGGCTGAGCCGTAGAAGGGGAACTAGGGCACGGTGGACGCTGCCAAGCTGACGGAGTGACTACGCAGCGAGGAAACAGAAAATGCCGCTTCCACCCCCATAACTGAGAAGGAATAAAGCGAGTTTAGAAATGACCCAGATATAGAACCTGTGAATGTTCGGGCTGTGAATGCCAACCCCACCCACAAACGAAGCTGTAGCGGACTAACCAGCGAATCCGGCATTCAAAAATCAGGGGGGACGTACCGAGCAGCGCAGAGGCTTCTTCGCATCGTTCGATACTGCAGGTGCATGCAAAGAGCTAAAGAACTGTTGAAGCAAAGCGTCCAGAACAGCCACTAGACTCTGGTGGAAGTGGATCTTATATCCGAAACTACGGCGAAGATGAGCAATTTCGCAGCCATATGCTTAGTGCAGTCTCTCTGACTGCGCTTCACGGATGGAAGGTAGGAGATGAGACACGCAGGGGCGCTACTGTGGCTCCCGTGAATATCGTCGAAGGGCGACAAGTATGAGAATAAATTGAAAAACAAACCAAAACGTTAAATGCGCGAGACTCCATAATTACTTGGCAGTAATACGGAAACCAGCCAAGTTGGCGGCTTGCAGCGCAGTTTTGAAAGATATTTGCCAGATAAGTTAATTGCGCACTGCGCATTGGACTCTGTGGAGAAGGGCAAGCACATCTTTTTCACTTTGGACTTTTTTAATGGAAAAACAAAATTCGAAGCTGCATAGGAATTTGGGGTGGCTAAAGGCTACTGAAGTGGCTGGGCTAGGAATCGAAGCATCCACACTTGGTGCACTAGACAAGCAACCCGATGGACGCCCAAAGCACTGCACCGGATTCGCTTTGCGGGAGCAACCTCAAGCTTTGAATCAAGGTGCAGGCTACGCACACTTCTTGAAGGGGAAGGCGAGTGCTAAGATAAACTGTCAAGAAAAGGCAAACTTCAATAATCAGCTAGCGCATTCGTGCACAACCCAGTGCTGGCAAAGAAAAATGACGGGAGTGGACGCACGTCTATGGACTTGGCGGTGAGAAAAAAGTTCCACGTCGTTTGTGCCCCGAGTTCACGAACTCCTTGACCGCTTGCAGGGTTCAGCAGTCTAATCACCGCTTGAATTCGCTGAATCTTTTTTGGTCCCAATATATCCCGGCAACAGCCACAAGACTTTGTTCCATACCTTCAGTCACAAAATGGATTACTAATGCATACCCTTTGAAAAAGGGAATGCACCTGCAGAACTGCAGAGAAGGGGCAATCACGATTTCTTGGAGCCAAGCAGTGAGTTATGGATGGTTATATACATGGCTAATGCGGCTCTTTCCAGCTGTAGTGTGCATGGGTATCTGCAACGCCTACAGCGTGCTCTGCACTCGCTAAGTGAAGCAGTCGTTCGTGAAAGAACACAAGTATTCGTTCTTATTGTAAACGCCTTCATAGGATGTGTCTCTGCAGCAGTTCCTATGCTACATCCGGCAAAGCGTGAGGCCATATCTAGGCGGCCATTCTCACAGAGGTCCAGCAGCTTCTTGGCCTGGCATCGTACGCCCTCAATTTCATACCTGGACCCGCTCGCATCACCGCCGCCCCTCTAACGGAACTATTTCAGAATGAAAAATATCTTCTTTGGGCGGCAGGTGAAGACGTATCTGCCAGAAGCCTCATCAGGTGCCTGGGATCTTCCCTTGTACTCCCATTTCCTGGTTTTAGCGGACCCTTCTCTCAAGCACTCGATGGCATTGGCGTAGCAGGTGGGGCAGTGCTCTGCCATCAAGCCAAAAACTCGAGAAAACACCAAACAATGGCGCGCTACGCACACCGTTTGCTGGAAAAGGAACAGAAGTACCCGGCACTCGAGAAGGAGCTCGACGCGGTCTGGTGTGGAGTAAAAAGTTGCCGACGTTACTTACATGGCAGGCCTTTCACGTTTCACACTGAGGTTAGCATGCGAAGAATATAACGAAGAGTTTCCAAGACTACGATAGTGATACATTTGTTCGGCGGTTTTGCCGGCCTGCACAGTACGACTGCGCAACCAAGTGAGTCAAGAGTGTCATCATTGTTATCGCTGATGCACTCTCCTTACGCCCTGCCAGTCAAATACCGTGTTTCACAGCCGAGCGAATCTGCGGCGAGTCCCGTTTCCCTTCTAAATTGTGTTTTCTCACTCCTTAGATACTCACGTAGCTGCGACTCCTGGTAAGTTCAACAGTGGGTGACTGCCCACCCATTACAACCTAGGCAGCGATCTTCAGTGGTACCACAGCACGCGTGAACTCCGCCAATTATGCGCTCCACGTTTGCTTGACACAGAAGTTCTGCGCGAATCGCAGGATCATGCTTCAGCATTCGTACTCCAAGGCTATCATAAAGTGCCTGCTGGGGGAAAGAATTTTCTTACAACTGCCATTCAGAGGCTGTTGCCGTGCTCGATCTTAGTTGCTCTGTCTGTTGTTCTTTTCCTAAATCCGCAGTCGTCGTCTTGCTGAGGGATCGGGTGTCATTCGCCTCTCACTGAAGAGCATGTCAGAAGCATCCAGAAGGTTTTCCGTGGCAGCATCATCAAGAAACCGTCGCCACCGAAAACAAACAAATGAATTCCGTCACAGCTATGGAGATCGCTTTTGCTTAGCAATTTCATAAGGGCATATACTTAATCTCCCCGATTCAATGGCAGCAACTGCAAACGTGAGCATGCCCAGTGCAGCTTAAAGTTTTGGAGAGTTCAACCTCCCGGTCGCTCCGTCAACAGTAAAGGGGCGCTTACAGGTTATTATCTATCTGCACGCCGAAGCCACCTACGTTTATTGTTGTGATATGAGATTCCTACTATACCTACTGCTATCTCATCGCCCCTGCGAAAAACACTGTCATTTTTGCTCACAGTTTTTGCGAAAATCAGCAAAACCAGCATTGCCAGCAACAGCAGCAGCAGCGGTTAGGAGCTATCGCCCTAGGCTCCGTTATTCAACGCTGATTTTTCCTTCCTGCATCAGGGGTTGCTGATGCGTGCTAGTGTGTTGTGGGACTAGGAGTACTCTTTGTTTCTGTGCTTCGAGCTGCAACAGCAAAGCACTGGCGGCAGCTCCATCCGCGTCCGTTTGCCGGAGCGCAGCAGCAGCACAGCTATGCCCCTACAAGGATCTATCCTCGCAGTGCTATCGTAGGAGGTGCATATAACACTATTATACGTGTACCAGGAGCAGCACAACCTGCTGCTACACCTGTGCTGTCTGCCTTCGGTCTGCAACTGGTGCTATCCTGAAAGCTTGAGGCCACGACTGCACCTGGAATGCCGCATACTGAGAGGGGTTCTGCTTGTACCATCAACTGCAACAAGAAGGCGACAGCAGCGGCAAAACTTCTTCAGGTGCGGAGTCTAGAGAGGAAGTGTCTGTAGCAGCACGATACAAGGTGTGCAGCATCACACCACTGAAGACCCTGCTCTGCTGCACCAGGAAGAGGACCTGTAGTTGTTGCTGGGCTCCAGAAACAAGAAGGCGAAACAGTCGTCAAGCAGCAGCATCTTGGAGGCCAAGGAAATAGCAACATCATCATGTGGTACGACAGCAAGGGATGCAACGGCGACAGATGCACCAGAAAGTGGCAAGCAGCTACGCATCGATGAGTCATGGAGGAGAAGGAACCGAAGGAGCCTTAAACCGGTACCCTCCTCCCACGCGTCAAGTGCTAGACGAACCCTCACAT